GATTCACTGTATGGTAACTAAGAACGCCTAAAGCTGTATATCAACGATTCACTGTATGGTAACTAAGAACGGCTAAAGCTGTAGATCAACGATTCACTGTATGGTAACTAAGAACGGCTAAAGCTGTAGATCAACGATTCTCTGTATGGTAACTAATAACGCCTAAGTTGTAGATCAACGGGTGTATGGTAACTAAGAACGCCTAGAACTATTATTGGCATCTACGTTAGTCTACAGTTTGTTTTTCTAGCAACACAAGTAACCAAAACAGTTTTCACAATCAGTGAAAAAATATGACAACTTGTTTCTGCTTAGAGAAACGCGCGAAAACTTTCCACACCCTTAACAGATAAAATCAGTCAAAGTTAGTTTTAAAAAAGTTTTTTACACAAGTGCAAATCATATCAGCAACTACCAAGAGTTCTGCTATAAGCTTTCAGTCTTGTGGTAGCGGGGGAGGGCTGTAACTCAAATTGTTTAATGATGTAAAAGTTAAAGGCGCAACATCACGGACAAGCATTCCCACTCCCATTTCGAATGTTTTCATCAGGATTTACTTTAGGTATCGAAACCAACTTTTGGACGTTTTGTGGACTGAATTTTAATTCCTCATCAAATCATTTTACTTTTCCATCATCATCGGGATGATGGAATTGAAGACTTGGGAGGGTCAGGTACTAAATAGAGCTCTTCCTCCATTCTGAACTGTTGTTATTTGTTGAAAACTATTCTGTGGTTTCTTTTCGGTAAGCTGATTTGGATGTCTATTAATTACTGTTGCTACTTTCCTTCTCAGGGCCATGTCCGTTTATGTTGTTTGATTATGTATTTGTTTGTGTAGTTATGTTAGCTGTGTTGTGGAATAACGAGTAATTGTATGATATGAGGGAGAAGGGGTGAAATGTATTCGATAGCGATTTTAATTATTAGTGTGAAGCTGTCATCTTGGATTTGGGGGGTTTTGGTATTGTGTTAAGAATTCAAAGAAAATGTTTTTAGCTGCTTCTGTTATTTCACTTATGATTTCATTTGTTCTGTTACAGTGCTTATGTGTTGTGTGTTCTTCTTCTGTTTTGGTGTGTTGTGAGTTTGAGTTACTTTTCTAATGACCACTTGTTTGTATTGAATTTAGCACAAAGTTACTCAAGGACTATCTGTGCTAGCCATCCCTAATTTAACAGTGATAGACTAAAGAGAAGACAGCTAGTCAAAAACCAATGCCATCTCTTTTGCCAATGAATAGTGGGATTGACCATCACATTATTACATCCCCACAGCTGAAAAAATTAACATCTTCGGCGAAGGGGCCACTTTGTTTGAAGCACGTTGTTGCTACATGAAAAGTTACCATCTAAATTTTGCCTGATGCTATTTCCAGTCTTGACTGATGTTTGTTGACATGAAGATGTCTACTTGCTGGCCTGAAGTGGTTCTTTTCTCACTAACCCTTACAAGGGTTAACAAACACCAAACCTCACAGTGTGAAAGTAATCTCGAATGCTACCTGACTCTTGAAAGTGGTAGGACGCGATTACAATGCTTCACCAATCTTTTATTTATATACATGTTTTTACAGCAGATAATATAGTTTTTCAGGCATTTTAGTACGAGTGTTCTGAAAGGCATTTCAAAGTCCTGCCTCGACTCGTCGCAGATGAACCAAGTTTGGAGTAAGATGAAAAAGACAAGAGAAATAAAAAGGTGTCAAACAAAAACTCCAAGACCAAGAAATGATTCATGAGTTGCGTGACATATCCACACGAGGACCTTTCGTGGAAGAGTTGAGAGTCAACTGATTCATATAATTAGCGTGCCAGAACAATAAATAAATGCTACATCTTTAAGATTCGTTGCAGTATCACTATACTTAAATCATAGTATAGAGAGTGCTTGATGGCTGCTTCTCTACTGAATGTTATAATTTCTATATTCTTCATAACTTTCATCTTACTTTAGTAAATAACAGCTAAACCAGACAGCTGCTGTCCTAATCAGTTGAAAAAACATGAAATTATAATACACAGTTATTCAAATTACATCACACACGGTTTATTACTTCAATTTAATTATTTTTGGATGTTTTTAAACTTATTTACTACATTGCTTATACATGTTCTGAGTAATTCAAATAACCCATCTAAATATTTCAATTTTAATTGTCTAATTCAAAAATGATAAAGGTATATATATATATATATATAAAGTTTAGCTTATTTAACTAGAATAATTCTACTTTCATTATCTTTTGTGAATTATAATAAAACCTGTATGTTCAGTTTTGTTTGCAAATAACAAAATATAAGGTCTTTAAAAAATTCTCTTTACATGAAATCACAAGATGACCTGTTTGTATTTTTAAAGTTTTGGCTGTTTTCTATAAAATAGCAATTGAGATTTTCAAATGATTAAATATCTTTCATAGTTTTTTTGTCTGAATACACTGGTAAGTTTGCACCACAAACTTTTAGACATGTAGTTAGTTACTTGTGTCAGACAGATCTAAAAAATTACCTTTTTATATATGAGAAATGAGACATTTCTTCATAGTATAAAATCAAGTTTAATAAAGTTTATACACGGGTTACTCACAGAACAGCTACTCATTCCTAGAAATATTTTTCTCTCCAATTCAAAATAATGAAAATTCTTTTAAAAACAAATCAACTATTTTATTAATCATGAAAACGTATGCAAAAATGTTTCTGTAACATTAAAAAAACTACATAAATCTGACATCAGCAATATTACTTATGGAAATCTTTCCTGTACCACACATGTACAGTTTAATACATCTTTAAATATCAAAATCTTCCTGCTTTATTGATGGAGACTTTTCACCTCTTAACTTCATAAGCTCCTTTGGAAGTTCTTCTTTCAAGTTCAGCTATGTACATACCCCCAAACAGCTTTTTAAGGTGTCAATGTCAGTGCAGTTTAGCAATTTCCTACAGTTAAATAAAAATGTTACTAACAGTTCAAAAAAAAAAGTAAAAACTATAAATTTTTTCGTAAATAGTTTTAAATCTGATACTAAGTGTCAAAGAAATAATTTCAAAAGTATTGATAAAAAAGGATCTTTGCAAATTAGGCCTAACAATAAAATTTAATATATCACACAAAGAGTAAAACAATCTAGCCTTCTTTAAAGTGGATTGAGACAGTGTATTTGAAATGTGGACTTAAGTCTACTAAGAACTTCTACCATTTTTCTTTATTTTGAAATAATGTTTTGTGTTCTATTATAATGAAAGACGTAGCCCAAACCATATTTATATATATATATATCATAATAAAAAATTACATATTTTTATTTGAAAAAGCAACATGTTTTTTGTGCTCTCACAGAATTTTATTTCAGGTGAAAAATCAAAATTTAAGCTTATTCAACATATTATAATTTTATATTTAGTCTCTACAAAGCATCACACCAAGTAAAAGACCTATGAGATTTTTACCATCCCAATTACTTAAAATCAATCTGCTTTGCAAAAAAGAAAACCTGCATTCATTAAACAGGATACATAGCCAGGCACTGCTCTTTTCTAGCTCAACACCAACTTCTCCAACTAATTCTGAATTTTCTTTTCATGCAAAGTTTTAAGTACTGACCACAGTACTAACAGGTGTTCAATTTACATTACAAATCTACATAAATTCTTGAAAAGACAGATTTTATGTTTTAACAACATATTAAACGTTTTTATTGCTTTACAGGTATTTAGATTATATGAAGTAAAAGCAGTATTAACGTGCAAAAAAAATATAGTTATAAATGCTTACTTAAACTTTCTTCTGCACTCAAGGCTTGTTTCAAATTCTCTGGCTTTCTGGTGACCTTTTTTTATAATCTGACAAAAACAGTAAAATTAGAGATGCATGGTAATATTAAAGTGAAAGGTTTAGACTCCTTCCCAAATATATATAAATGAAGAACTTTCTAACACATTTCACAAATAATTAGTATATAATTAATAACTTCCTATAGGTCTATCCAAGATTAAACTTTGTAAGAACTTTAAGAAGTACAATATTATTTCATATTCCACAGACAAACAACTAACATCCATGCAATCTTAACGAATAATTAATAACTTCCTATAGGTCTATCTAAGATTAAACTTTGTAAGAACTTTAAGAAGTACAATATTATTTCATATTCCACAGACAAACAACTGACATCCATGCAATCTTAACCAATAATTAATAACTTCCTATAGGTCTATCCAAGATTAAACTTTGTAAGAACTTTAAGTACAATATTATTTCATATTCCACAGACAAACAACTAACATCCATGCAATCTTAACGAATTCCCTGTTAATGTGGAGTGTCATATTAAATCAGTAATATTTAGAATCCAACAATAGAAGTACAAGGTAATAGTTTCTTTAACACTGACATTAATTACAACCTTTTCCAATAAATGACAAAAAACTGTGATAAGATATAGCCAAGAATAATTTACACTGACTATTAAAAATTAAATGTAAAACATCTTAGAATGTTTTCTGACTATATAGCTATAATACTAGGTATATAAACATATGTACACTTCATTTGATCTTTCATGCATCATTTTATTTTTAGCAAGTTTGTTTGATGTTATTCAACAAGATACAATGAAAACCAAGATCAAATGTGTAGGGACTTTTTGATCTCACCCGATAAATACTAACTCTATACAACCCGAGTGCATCAATTTGGTGCATCTAAATTATGGTCTGTTTTATTGCATTATGAAAAAGTTTAAAACTTTATAATTACTTTTTAGAATATTTTTGCTGCAGAGAAAACATTTTATATTTATGTGATACTTCTGAACTTGCTTTGAAATTTAGAAAAGGTTTTGTTGTGATATGTTTTTTTTTTAAAGGAACAATTAAAAATGATTACTATTATTGTCGATTTTAATTAATTTTTTTGTGTCTTCTTACATTCTTTTAAATATTTCCATTAAAGTTTTTATTTTATAAAACTCTAAATTTTATCTGTTTTGATTCATAAAACAACATACTCAGTTTCACTATGTTTACGATCACAGGTGTACAATAAAAGTAACTTCACCATACTAACTTTACAAGCAAGCCAACAATTTTAAACTACTAAAGAAAAAATCAGGTCAAAGTTTCATTTTATACATGTAAGTTTTAAAATCAATTATATTAATCTATATATTTTTTTACATTTATTTTTGGTGATTTTCTTTGCCCATTCAATCAGTTACTTAGGCCGATAAGGCCTAATACAAACAAAGCTAACACAGTGGCCTTGTTGACAAAACAAAACTTGACATAGTCAAATTAAAAGTGACTTAACTAAGTATATCTCATTCCACAAAAAACATTTCTTTTTCTATCATACTGCAACATCATAATTCAAATGAAATGCAAAATTTTATCGATAAAGCCTGTTCTTTTACGAGCTCTAAAAATATTAGGACTAATTGTGGCAAAAGTTGTTAACAAACACCAAGTTAAACATCTTTCACTGAATTCTCACTGAAATAAATGTCCTCATAGCTTTTTTGTTGGAAAGAATAAAAAGAGAACTTTCCTGATGTGTTTAGATCACTATCCTATTATTTACCAATGCTGATATATTGGTAACCAAAGTTGAAAAACAGTGACTGGTTAAAAATCGTTCAAACTACATTGTTATTCAACTTGCAAGGATAAATCAGCACTGATTTATTCAAAACTATTACAGTTTTCCACCTATGTGGAAACAATTACCATATCATGGCCAGACAAAATTCAAGAAATCCATAAAAGAGTATTTATTTTGTTGGGAGCTGAAATCAACCCAAAATCAAAAGTGGCAAGTCTTTGTATTTTTATGTTTAAAATTAAATAAATTAAACTTTGTCACAGAATAAATTTTAATGTGAACTTTCTGTGCGTGTGTGTGTGGAAAACCAATTACAAGTTAAAAATCGTTCAAACTACATTGTTATTCAACTTGCAAGGATAAATCAGCACT